ATCAATAGAATAATCAATTAACATCCTTGTCCTATCATCTTATAGAAATTAAATTTTTGTGACAGAACTTCCAACCATTAAAAAATTAAGTATCTTGATGTTATTGATACTTCTTTAAAAGAAGTCGTAATCCGCTGAAATCTATATGAAACCTTTACAAAAGTGATCAAATAACTGCAATACTCCTGATTGTTTTCATTTCTACATATTACAGAAAAAAAATCACTTTCAATTATAATACTTAATTTACAAATTATGCAGCTGAACTTGTTTTACATAACTTACCCTCTTCTTGGGCCTCCCAGCGCCTCCTGCTGCTGCTGCTGAAGGAAGCGCTTCCTTGAGGCGTCCATGCCGGGATGGCCCATGCCTGGACGCATCGGAATGCTGCCACCACCGTAAGAAGGGCCCGGCATCTGTCCCCCCATTGATCCTATGAGGCCCCCCAATCTGCTAGGGGGCATCCCAGATCGCTGGAGTGAAAAAAAGACGGAGATTGATGAATAGAAGTATTGCAAAGCTAATGGTATAAAACTACAGATCTGTGCAAAAAAACATAAAATAGGTCAAACACAAAATGTATAAAACATAAAATAGCAGCACAGAGTTTTAATAGCTCGAGGCAAAAAGCTAAAGCATTCTGCTGGTTCTGCACCTGTAACAACCATTCTGAGCTCCCCTCACTATCCTCTGCAGGACTATTTTCTCTGCCGTACCACAGTCAGAGTAAAACCATGATTTCAAGTTTATCTGTAATGCCAAGACATTTTGGCCATCTAAACCCTCTCTTCTGTTGGGAAAAAGTTAATATTTCTAATGTTGAGTGATTTCTATTAAATCTAATCTAATATTCCCCTTCAGCAGGGCTGCAGGGGGCCAAAAGAAAAGCGTAGGAATGATAGTTTTAGTTACTCGGTTGGTCTTCAAACTCCTTAAAACCCACTGTAACTTGTCCCCAACTCACAGCACCATCTTTTACCATAAGTTTCAACGATAAATAAAAGTATCAAAGTGTGATTTCCTCTATTATTTGATACAATGGTGTGGTATTGAACATTCCAGTTTTCATTTCTGACAAAAGACATATGAAAACCCAAGTGTTGATCAGTGCTAGAATCGATAAATAATCTTCTCTGGGAGTTTAATGGTTGAAGGTCTTAACCCAAACTAGAAATGGTTTAATTGGGGTTTTAAAAAAAAAAAAAAAAAAAAAAAAAAAGTCTCTAATGACATGAAGTAGAAGGTAGCAGAGTGACAAGAGTTTTTAAGGTGTTGAAAATATTTGCAGTCTTGGAAAATGGACAGTTTTCTGCATGGAAATTAAAGGAAATGCAATTATCAGTCATTAAAACTACAGTTCACAAGCCATTAGCAAAATCACTGAATGCAGGTTAGCTAAAATGGAAGAACAAAAAAAAAAACTAAGTTTGTTCAATTGAAAACTAATACTTTATTTTACTAACTATGTGTATTAATAAAAAAAAATACTGCTTATCTGCAACAAACTAAATTAACTAAATTCTGTTACATGTTTTTTGTTTCAAATAATTCAGCAAATACAGTTGTATTGTGAAAAAACAAAAATATGAATGGTGGATGTTTATATATTTTGGACAGATATTTTCAGGTTTTAAGCTGAAATGTTATGAGAGTGTAGAACATGTGTCTTTATCTGATATCAAGAAAATAACTGAAGCCCCGCATGTTTTAACTGCCAAAATAAATATCTGCTGTGTTTGTGCATGCCAGTTTCAACAATATGAACCCGCAGATGGTAGAAGTGGGATAATATATGCAGGCTTGCCTGGGGGGCAGATGGTGGTGATGATAAACTGTTATTTTCACTAACTGACAGGATGCTAAGGGCAACCACGTGACTTTCTCCTTCATACCTGAACAAAACATATTTATTTTATCACTTTTTTATATTTAATTATACGCAAAGCATCTTAAATTTCAGTAGAAAAACGATAAAGTCACAGTAAAGAGTTGCGGCAATTTAACAGATGGCAGGAAAGTAGTGTAGAGCTCTTTTAAAGGCGGAAGTGCCATCAATAATGTGGAATTTTAACACATCGAAAATTAATTATTCTTCTATAACTTTGTATTAAATTCAGAGTTTAATACAAAGCAACTCAAATTATAAAACTGACTTGATTCACTAAGTAAATGGAGGTTAAATATAAAAAAGGAAGTTCAAACCTGGTGGTATTGGGGAGTGCTGGTCATGCTCCGGGGGTAACCCGCGGGAGGCTGCGGCATCCCAGGCATCCTCATGCCCGCGATATGGCCAACATTCATGGGGCTCACAGTCGGATTCATCTGGGGAGCCGGGAAGCCCCCTCTTGATGCCATCTTCTGGATCCACAAGTGGTTTAAAAAAAAAAAAAAGTGACGGAAACTCAAGGAGGTTTTGAATGTGTAAATAAAAGCCCGGAAGGCTTTTAAAAAAGAAGCGCTCAACGCGAGAGAGCCTTCCGCCTTTCCTCCGCGAAGTTGACAGCAAACACACCGTCAACGAAAAGCTAGTCGACGTTAGCTCGTTTCCGACCGTTTCGAGTTCCGGGGTTTTTTTTTTTTTTTTTTTTTGCGTCTGTAAAGCCCCCTCACTTCCCCACTCACTAACTCGGGGCTGACTGTTGTTCCTCACCTCCCGCCTGTGTTTACCCTCCTGAACATGCCCAACTTACACCGACTTGACTGCCTCACCAGGCGCCTTCTCCAAAGCGCCTGACTTCAGACAAATTCAGTCCTAAAGCCAAATCAACTGCTCGGTCTGAGCACTGCCCACCCACGAGACACCAACGGTGCCTTCAAGTACCGTCGGAAATATCGAATGTCGTCAGGCTTTCCGTTCAGTTCCGGTTTTTGTTAACGTCTTCACCTTTTTTCAATACAAAAATGATCCAACTTATTACTCTTTCAAAGTAAATATACCTAGTTTTCAAAAATAATGAACGGAGGAAACAATTAGAATTAGCAAAATTTTCTATTAGCTAAATGCCTCAATGAGAGAAATAATTGACTTATTACTATTATCTTTAAAAACTAAAGTTATTTCCTCTGTATTAGGTTGCAGGGGTTGTATTAGGTTAAAACTCATTTTTATTCTTTGGCATTTAATTGATGTATTGTTTTTACTCTGTTTTGTCATTTGTGTTGTCGTTCTTGTACAGCACTTTGGTGCAGTTTTATACCTGTTTTAAAGTGCTATATAAATAAATTTGACATTGACATTGACCTTTAAGCTGTCAAAACTTTTGGGGTTTTCACAATTCTTTTGGTTGAACTCTCGCTTATTTCTCCTGACAGAACCCATCTTGCTGGATTTACATTTCAGACAATGGAACAAACAATAGATATGTGAGATGTTCAAAGCTTGTGATGTTGTTTTGGAACCGAACCCTGTTTTAAACTTCTCCCAAAACGTTCTGCTGCGTTTCTTGTTTCATAATCCCATCTGCTCAATAATGTTCTCCAACAAACCTCTCGAAAACTTCAAAGAACAGCTGGATTTATACTGAAATAAAATTACCCACAGGTGCTTTCTATTTACTAAAATGCCAGACTTCTGAAGGTACTTTGCTAGATTTTATTTATGGGTAAATGGGGCTGAGTGCATATGCTGTCTAGAGCTGAAAGTGACTCAGGTATAACTGGGTGAAGTGGTTAAGAAAAACGTTATTCTCTTGGGAGGGAAAACGGAAAAAAAAAAAGAACCAATTACTTAATTTGTACAAAACCAAAATAGAGTCACTGTGTGAGGAAAACTACTGCAATATGTTGAGTTTATTAGACTTCCACTATGGAGTGAGTCATTTTAAATTAAGATAGGGTCGAATTGGTGATGGCTGCCCCCTGTTGGTCAGTTCATTTTAGTCAAGCAAGCAGGAATCCTTCCGACAGGTAACAAATCATTTATTATGCTAGACAGATGAAAACAAACCGAGCCATGACAGCAGCAATTCGACTATTAGAATATTTACACTATCACATCACACCATGGACAAATGTGACCCTTTACAATGTAAACATGATACAAAGACATATTTGAATGCTAGAAAACAAGCTGAGTCTATCCAAAGAAAGAGAACCCAAAAGAAACCTGCTTTCTGCAGGCAACCTGCAGCCTGCGTGCAAAATCAGATGTTCATTCACTGAACATTTCAAAACCAGTTTCCTTAGGCGAGCACCAAACAGAGCTGCTCACGCCGTGAACTGGAAAACTACAACCCCGACAGTCAATGTGGAAACAAGACAAACCATTTCCAATGATTGTCTTTGACATTAGTTCTCGAATAATTAGATTTTCTTTTTTAAAAAAACAAAAATGAGGAGACGTCAGCTCACCTACTGCCTGATCTTTTCTGTCTTATGAAATAAAATACTGTGTGCAGACTGTTGCACCAAACGCGGCCGTCTTCGCTTTAGCCTCTGGATCATTTCCAGACTCTTATTCTGTGCAGAAAAATTATACATGATGATATTCACTATTCAGGACAAAAAATATATATATAATTAAACAAATGAGGAAAACATTGTTTGGTTCAATGATTCTGTGATTAAAACTAAAACAAATCCATCAAGAACAAAGTGGGAGGTTCAGGATTTCTTCTGCAGAGCAGCAGACACCACGAATGTCACCGATAACATCAACGCCAACGTCCGCCGGTTCGACAACGTAAAGAACCGAAGGGCTCCTGCTCTCCCTCGAGTTCTCCGCCTGTGTGTGTTCGTCTACACAGTTCAAGAAGGTGTGTTTGTGGCCAAGTGCGTTACTGAGAGAAAGCCTCGTCTTTCATCAGCATGCGGGGACTCTCCTGGTTTTCCATCCGCCGTCTAGGGCCCATCATGCCTGTGCAGAAACAAAAAGCAAGGGGTCACTCCTGACACACAACATACACTGTGAGCTCTTTAGATTTCATCAATATGCACAAACTCTTTTCTAATACGGGATATTTGGAGAGGAAAAATAAATAAAGTAAAAAAACAAAGCAGATCCTACGTGGTCAGTCAGCTACAAACCCATATGAAAGGTTTACCCCTGTCCATACCCACAGGCCTTGAAGAGGCAATGTACGAGTCTTTGGGCGGCGCATGAGCTTCATTGTCTTGATTGGTCTTACTGGCTGTACCTGGGAAAAGGCGGATAAAAGGCATTTTGTTAAAACATTCTGTTGCGACACATTTTTCAGGTCAAAATGTCAGACCTCTGCAGAATCTAATGTTAATGTTTCTTTGCCCTTCTGAAGATAATAGACAAATGTAAGAAAAAAGGTGCAGATGTTTCTGCAGCAGTCAGAGGAAAATGTAGACTTTCATGGAATGGACAGATGGAAGGATGGCGAGACTAACATGAATGGATACATGGTTAGATTAATGGAATGGTAATTAGAAAGATGGATGGATGGACAGACAAAAAAAATGATTGGAAGGATGGAGAAATGGAAGAATGACAGAGATAAATGGATGGATGGATAAAAAAGTGGACTGATGAATAGACTTAATATAACTTCTAGATAATAAGAATAGAAAATATGATCTTGAAATCTTATTTCTTCCACACATGATTTCTATTTCCATGCTTATCAAAATCTGAACAAAATAAAAAGTAAATACTTTTCCACATAACAGGAAGGAACCCCGTTTTACTATTATGTTCTGTTTATTATTTCCAATTTAATTTTGTCACAATAGGAACCTCGTTTACCTTTATTTTTTACTCTCTATGTGGGCATAAAAATCACACTTACAGGTCTCCATTTCCTAAGTTGTTAATAATGTATAAATTGTAAAGCATTCCATACAAACTGTTTCCATATCTTAGAGAAGATATGTTCAAAATGTCACCTATAATCAATGATGCTTTCCTCAAAATATTTAACTCTAAATTAGTTTTTTCCCCTATTTATCTTTTATTGCTTTGTTTAGTTGTTTTCCGTTTCTAAAGGAAAATTTGATGTACTCTAATCGCACATGTGATTTCCTATTTTTACTGCAATCTACGTTTTCAAACAGAGCTGATAGAATTTCACATGAGTTATCTGTGTAAGTAATAATAATAATAAAGATATGTTTACTTACTGCTTTTATGCTTGAATGATTTGGATCTTCTTGGTGAATTTGGATTCTGAGGATCAACAAAAAAAAGAAGAAAAAATAGAGCTACCATTTGGTTTGGGTTAAGAAGTCAGGACAAAAATTCTGAACACTTTCATGAATAAAACAGGTGATAAACAATATATATATTTAAGGGTAAAATAAAAGCACCTTATCCGACTTTCTTTTCTTTGCTGTAAAATAAAAAAACAGATGAGGAAAAACAGAAAATCTGCAGTGAATCAGTTTTTGAGGAACATGAAGAAAGTCCAAAGCTTCACCTTTCTTTTCTGCCCCGTAGGACCAGTCGTTATCGTTGACGTCGTCGTTATCTTCTTGGTCACTCTCCGACTTGTTGTTGGTGTTGTTGCCAGTAACTATTCTGTAAAACGGCGAAAGACGGCAGCATTACTTATGAGAAATAACCCAAAACAGATTCCAGGAAGAAACCATGAAGCCAATTCTGATTGTGGGAACCAATCAGATTCACAGATGGAATCGGAGATAAACACAACGTGAACATCTGAGAGGATGCTGGTCTGCACTTTGAACCTGCGGTTAGCTATGCGGCTGCTGTTGCGTCCCATCCCGAGGCATTTCTCCAGGTGTGGCGCGAAGCGAGACGCCGCAATGCTCCGGTTGCAGTTGGGACAAACGCACTCTTTGTTTTTCCATTGGTTGTACACTTGGCCGAACACGTCCAGTCCAGGCTGGTCCACAATTTCTGAAAGGGATTCGAATCGAGAACCGTGAATAAAACTGTCATCAAATCTCAAACTAAATACTTTAGGGAAAATTCTGCATTTAATCGGAGAACATTTAGTCAGTGAGGAAAAGAAAAATAATGTAGATTTTCAAAATTAATCACAGTTTTCACAATTTTTGCCAACAATAAATCTAAAACTCTTGTGAGTTTTAAGCAATTAATTCCTAACATGGATCTTAACTCAGCCATGATTGTTCCTGTAGTTTTAAACAGTTTCATTCATTCATTCATTCATCTGACTTCAGATAATAGTAAATTATAAAGATTGAGACACATCAGTATTACGAGGGACATGTTTTCTTGCCATTCCTATTATAAACAACTGATAAGAGAAATATCCATTTTTTTACCCCAGATAAACAGAAAAGTATGGGTGGCAAAATAAATGTTTCTAGATGCATTTTTAGTGAACAATTGTTCTTTGATGCAGCATTTCTTTACATTGAATACATTTTAAATAAAACTTGGATTTTATTTATCAGCATGAGATTATATTGGAGAACTGATTCATTTATTGTAGGGTTTTTAGACACCGGTAACAGAATCAACACAAGTTTGTGTGCATCTGTGTATTAGTTATTATCTGCATGTACGTTTGTTTGAAAAACTCAGATTTTTGTGTTTGGCTTTTATTCAGTGATGCAATATAATCTTTTTGCAAGGTAGGACAGATTGTGCTCACCAAAGTCCCTCATGCTTTCTTGGTCCGTGTCATCCAGGAAGAAGTAGCCCTGCTTCACAGCCCGGTGGACCTCAAAGCAAAGACCCAGACATGCGTCCTCCACCAGGTCAGACAGGATGTCCTGAGCCATTGCCTGCCAGGGACGACATGCGGTACATTTCTGTGGCTTATCTGAGGTGATAAAGTCTTAAACCCCTTCAAAATAAATTCTGTTTTTGCTTTTTTTTTTTTTTTTTTTAAAGCCCACTTGCAAGTTTGAGATTTAACCAAGTCAGACAAAAAATTACCTAACTGTAAAAAAATAAATAAATTCTGATTTCACTAATTAAGCGTTAAACCTTTTTTAAACCAACCCTACGTAAACATTTGTTTCCATCCAGTGTCACATAAATTTTTCTGAATATGGTTAAGGTTTGAACCCTGGTGGAAATGAAGTCTCATGCTCAAGGAAACGGCTCATCCTGGAATATCCCTGTTCATCAGGGAAGAAACCAGCTCATAGTATATTCAGCTGACGTGACCAGTTGCAGCAACCCCAGATCATAGTGCTTCCTCCACAGGCTGCGCCAGAAGCGCCTGTCACTCAGGAAGAGGGTAAATCTGGACCCATCAGAGCACATGACCTTCTTCCATCACTCTAGAGTTCAATCTTTTTGCTCCTTTGAAGGTTGAAGCATTTTTCTCCAGCTACCTTCACTGACTGAACAACTTTTCAGTCCTAATTCTTCACGTTGAAGACATAGTTCTAGTTCTAGTTTAGTTTTTCTTCGATTTGATCTCACCAAACTTTCCGGGGATCACTAAGGATTTTTTTTTTCTGACCACATTTCTTCTTCAAAGATGATGATGACGATTCCCCTCTTTCGCTACAGTTTTTAACAACAAGTTGGACAGTTCTCAATCCACTTTTAAGAGTTTCCTTACAGGTTTTCTCTGCTTGATGCCAGGAATTTTACTATTCTTAATCAACCACAGGATGCCTTTTCAAGATCCAAAGGAGACTTGCACTCCTTTGCTTTTTGGGGGGGTATCAGGCAGTGTATAGTATCATAGTTTGGGTGGGTATTTCTTTTTAAATCATGAATGAAATCATCATTTGAAAATGTTACTTTTTGCATTTACACAGGTCTGGTCTGATATTAAAATGTCTTTGATGACACCTGTTCACAACAATGCGTGTCTGCTTGTTGCTGCTTTCCACCACCACCATCATCATCATCATCATCACCACCGTACCTCCAGCTTGCTGTTGTCCAGGCTGGACACCGAAAGCTCCTCCATTTTCATTTGCCAGATCTACCAGATGAGCAGACGTTGTTGTGTTCATGCTGTAGCGCAGCAAGCATCGGCCAGAGCTGGGCTGCTGCAGGAGGGAAGCACAGTTAGCAGCACAGATGCCAGTCGGTCACTGAGAAAGGGATGCAGGGACTCACAACGGAGCAGAGGGCTGCTTCCCGCACTCACAGCCTGAGAACAAGCACACAGACACAAAACACGAAAAGGAAAGTCAGCGGAGTCCAAAACACGGCGCGAGTCCTCGACACTTCCCTGCAGCCCCGAGCTTTGCCATTCAATGAAAGGAGCTTAGCTTGAAGCTGGAGGAAAACAAAGAGCGCGGCTATGAATAGGCTGGAGGTAGTGAAAATACCAGGAGGTAACAGGAGAGGCGGCGTCCTGCGCCAACAGCTAATATGGCTACAACACAGAAGATGTACACGAGCGGTTGCAATTATAACAGCGATAAAAATATAGATATTTTTAATTGTTTCGCAGTTGGAGGAACATCCAACAGTAGCTAGGCTGCTCGTCCCTGAAGCAAGCACTGCTGCTGCTGCAGTGCGGCTGTGCGCCTCCCCGCTCCCTGGAAGAACCTCCGGCAGCCAAAATTCCGGTTCTCAACCCCCAAATACAGCCTTCCCGGCGGGGAATATCGCAACCGCGGTCCCAGCAAAACCTTAATTGAGTTTATTTACCTATTTCGACAGGCATCCATCTTTACTAAGCGATCAGGCAGAAACAATCACTCTCTGCACGAGTTCCATCGATGGCCGCCTCCTGTGCCGCAGATTAAACCGGCTGCTTTCACTTTGTTCGCCAATTCTGCTTATTTGAAACACCACCAGAAATAAAAAGCGATGCAATTAACACAATTCTTACTTTTCTTACATTTACAAGATGAACTATTAAGTTTAATGAAAAACCTAACTAAAATCATGCGTACTTTAATATGCACCCGTCTCAGGCAGAAGCAATCGATCTCCTCAGGAGTCACAGCTGCGCCTGAGCTGCACTGACTCCCAGCGCATCCACCTTTTAACAATTTAACGACCATTGATTAATTTAATGCATTTTAATTACGTCAGTTTCTTTTTAGAGAAATATAATAGCTCAACCATCTTCTGTCATGGAGATCGTTTTTAGTATTAGAAAAACCATTTTGTAAAATTTCACTGAATAAATTAAAAGGTATTTATGTATATTTATTTACAACCTGTAGAAAATATTTTTTAGGTGTGTTACTACAACAAATGGAGGCAAATTATGTTAAAAATGGACTGCCACAGCCTGCAGCGTTAGATCTTTTTTATACCAATAAAAGCATAGTTGGTTTGTTTGCTTCAAACTATGCATCTCGGTGTATATTTTTCAGTTGTACTCAACTCTTTGACCCATGTACTGCAATTTATTTATGAAACGTAGCAATAAAGTGATTTAAAGAAATAAAAACTTGACGAACCGACTGAACTTTAAGTGAACTACATTTACAATCCATTCAGCTCAAGTAAAATTAAATACAAAATATCTGAAGTCACACTTATTGTAATTACAGGCAGCAAATTTTGAAAGTCGCATCTAAATTCCAAAACACAAATATGAGTTGTATTATTGTATAATCTGCAAGATAATGTACCTCTATTTTTTTTACTCTTAACAGTTCTGTTTTTTTTTTTTTTTTTTAAGAAAACTTCCACACCTCTTAAACAAGAACACTTAATTGGTCTTTAAAATATATAATTTGTCACCAAAATTACTTATATCTGTTCTATATTTTTCATTTAAAAAACCTACAAATCCCAAATTCATGTTTTAGTTTTTCTTTAATTATTATATCATCCCTGACATGACATATACAAAGTGATAAAATTAACCTAAATTACATTCCCAATTCCCCTCTATGAATATGAATTTAAAACAGTTTACATCATTTTAACCAAGAGGCGAATGAACTAAAATAAGCACTTGAAAAATGTAAAATTATCGCGGCGTGAACGAGGAAATGACCCTTTCTGTCCTACTGTAATTTTTCTTCTTACTCCCAGGAACTCACTACATCAAGAATATTTTCATATTGTAGCTATAATAACGACAAGTAAACATTATTGAGAATATCTCTGCCACACAATGATGTAACTTTACAGGCAGCATTTTTTCAGCTCAGTTGATAAAGTGTTCATAAAAGTTTCCCTATAGCAGTGTATGAAGGTTCTGATTCTGTCAATCAGCGATGCATCTCAAACATGTCCCAGTCCTCTCCACTCTCATCCTGTGGACCAGAAGATGATAGAATTGAATCAATTCATCTTGTGACTCATTTAGAAAAAAATCCAACAATTATTCAGAGTACATTCATTGTTTTCAACAGGAAGAACCATCAACATCACCTCATAACTGATCCAAATATCATCTTCACTGCTGTTGTCCGTGATGTCTTCGTCCTCCGAGTCCTGAGAACCAAAAACAAACAGGAAGCAAAATTACAGCTCAGCGTGAGAAACCTCTTCCTTATCTCACAAGTCAAAAATCTGTCAGACAAAAGATCATTGGGTAGTGATCATGCATCATGGATGTGAATCAATAAGTCCAAAGTCTCCCTGGCTTTGTAACCAGACAAAGATTTAAAGAGGAGCAGCAAAAGCAAATGAGAAGGATTAGCAGAGCGCGTAAAGAACAGATGGTGTCATCCAGGAAATTTTAGAGTGGAAGATCGTCTCTGCTGGCCGAACCTGGAGCAATTAGCATTATAATGACAGTCATAAAGCAGAGGCTTCTTCAGATTTGTTGCAACACTGACTGCTGTCCTTCTTGCCCACGACTTCTCCATTTGCAAAAACTTTTTGAATACAATTGAATGACATGCATTATGACACTTAATTTCCATTTTAGATATAAAAAAACAACATTGTTTAACTGGATTGAATGTGTGTGTTTTATTCATATAACTTACTGAAGGTTGACTCGGATGTAGCTCTTCTCTGTTGTGCACCTGTTTTTGTTTGGGATCGAGGAACTGCAATTTCTGCAATGCAAGTTGGAACATGATTTCCAGAAAACCAACTTTGAAAACATTGGCGAATTTCAAAGTACTCACACTGGGATTTTGTTTCAAATACTCCGTTTGTTCTTCTGTGGTCAGATTCTGCACAGAGAATGGAAAATGGATACATTTATCTCCCAGAACATTTGGGAAAAACCCAAAGCAAAGATGGACATTTGTAAACACCTTGAACCACTTTTGCAGGTTTTCTGAGTATTGTTTCATGTTTGAATGCATCTGTTCTTTGTAACGTTCCTTCTCCTTTGCAGGAAGCTTGTCCCAAAGTTTCATAGATTTGGCTGAAGACATCTTCTGATCTTTGGCAAAGTATGTCAATACAGTTCTGAAAAACAGAAAAACAGTGCTGAATTAGTCAAACTGAATCTTGTCAGGGAACATTTCGAAGGTTTTGGTCACACACTCACTGGCTGGGCATCTTGGGCTCACGGGGTGACGTCCTCTGCACAGAGTAAAATGTGTTTATGCGAAGTGAAGATCCAATACGATAGCAGCAAGTACAGAAGTATTCACACCTCTTCAACGTCTATTGGGATTTATTTTTGTCGTTTCAAAAAGTAATACTCGTATCACATAAATCCATTACATGTGGAGTGAAATATTTCAAACTATTTCTTGTATTTTTTTTTCTGTGATTATTTAAACCTTATTTCTTAGGATTGCCTGTTTGTAACACGAGTAACTGTGAAACTTAAAACATTAAAAATATCCATAAGCCAAGTGTTTGAGTGTATTAACAAGGAAACTAAGATTTCGTCTTACCAAAGGCTTTGCCTTCACAAATCCGATATCTTGTTCTTTAATGGTTTGTTGCTGAGGAACAAACAAACAAACAAACAAACTGTCACACGTCTCTTCCTGTTAAATCTAGAAAAGTCTCAACTTACATCCAAAGATTCCTTTAGCTTGGCATTATACTCATGCTTCATCTAAAAATGACAAAAAAAATACTTTTAGGGTATTTTTAAATCAAAACAACTACGTTCTTTTTTTTGTCCTATGTTGGTACCTTTAGACAGCGTGAGCAATACTCATCCTTCTCTGGTTCATTCAGTTCTCTCCAGCGTTTCCTCATATCATTGTGCAAGTCCGAACCTAATGAAGGTCTGTTTTCTGCAGCACTCTCCTTCATGAACAGAAACAGACCATTTCTGAAAACATGCAAAGGGACAGAAAATTAGACAAACGGCAACAAACGTCTGTAAATAATGAGATTAAAGTTCTAACCTAACAGCACAAAGTTTGGGGCCGTTTTCAATGGGACCGAGTGAAGGTTTGTAAATATCAGAAGACAATTATCAAACCTTCTGATTTTAAGCAGAATAATAATAGTAGAAATGCTCCCAGCAACTTCCTCAGATGTCTACTGCAAGCTTTATGAATGTTAGTGTTGAGAACATTAGACAAGTAAAAAATCTGCAGTCAGAGGAATCTCAATTTGGTGAATCAAGGAGAGATTTTCAGTGTAGAGTCATGCAAACAGGAGTTATTTCTGCAAGTCTCATTAAACTGAATTCGAGACTTTTAAAGGCCGTTTCAGACAGGTTTTGGACCCACCCTTTATGAAAAGTAATAAGTTACTTAAATTATATTCACCTTAATAGCTTAAGTTAAAACTGTAAACACATGAACAAAATAAACCAGTTTACAAGTTTTGCTTTTTCCTAGCTAAAGTAAAAAAATGTGACAAAAATAATCTCTTACCGAGGTGGCTTCGTAGGCAGGTCTGCATCAACCTGACAGAGAAAATTAACAGATTTATACAAGAGAGGTCAAACATCTACAGTGGAAACGTTTCTCACCCAGCAAATCGTGCGAACAGCATGCCGAGACAAGGCAGAATAGAAGACTTACAACTGCAGAGAGTCTTGCCCTTTTAGATTCTCGAGGACAGGGTAGATTGTTGTCTTTACTGAAAAAGAGCACACACACAAAAAAGTTTACAATATAAATTTAGATCAACCGCTTTGTTAAGTCAAGCCTGCATAGAGGGAGTTTTGTACCAAAGGTTGTCTGACTTTCTCTTGCGCTCCACACGTCCACGGGCGTGCTTCTTTTTATATCCGTCCTACAATAAAAAGTCAAATCTGTTAACTTTCAAGTCACTCTTATCAATGAGTATTTATTTATATATCCACTTCTCATAGACTACCAATCTTCTAGAAGCACATCGTACACAGTAATGATTTCAGGGATTTCACAATCTTGCATCTTGGGGTAGACTGATAAATTGTCCCCAGTTTCCTTCATTGTGCATCATCAGCCGATACTTAAAAGTGAAACCTAAAAAAACGGTCTGAAAAAATTCACCAACTGTCCCTTTTTGGTCTGCCAATTAAGCGCATGATAAGTTAAAATGAGTTTCATCATTTTCATTCTGATTATTAATTTTGAAGGGAAATTGATTACAGAATTTTCAAAGTACATTTTATTTGTGGTTTCAGTTGTGTGTGCTTTTTCATTTCCGGTTAATTTATTGATTAGTTATGGTTTAGTTTGGATATTTAAATATATTTCAGTTTCAGTGTTGCATGTTCTTTACAAAATTAAAGTTTATTGATCATTGGGAGGGCCATTATCAACAGATCACTTGAAAATGGTCTCAAAACAACAAAATTATCAATGACTGCAATAATCACTGGGACATTTTATCATCCAGCAAACACTTTTGAACCTGCGCATATAACAGTCACCCCACTATTGCTAACTTAGCAACTTTATTGCTCCATTTAGCAACTTTTCATATGATTTAAAAAAAAGAAGAGAGGAAAAAAAATCCCCATTGTCCAAAATCCAAATTAGCAGGTTTTGTTAAAGATCAGTGATTGTCTGGAAAACTGCAATTGATGCACCACCGCTTGGAACATTAATTAATGATTAATGATACACCAAGGAGGTCATTCAGCCTTTTGATTCAGGGGTGTTGGAGCAGAGATGCATCCAAAAGCTGAACTAAAGTGGCACTTGGGGATCGGAGTTGCAGACCCTGGTTTAAACCACCTAGAATCAGCTATTACACAAAAATAAAACGTTAACGTTCCAAAGGCAGTTTTATTTGGCTATAGATTTTAAAGACAACACAAGAATTGGCATTTGAAGTGAGTAACTAATAGATCTCAAGTGAGATTTTAAATCAAAGTGAAACCAATCTCTTATCGAAAGCTTTTTCTTGTAACTTCAGGTCAATTTATTTACATTGAAAAAAAGCATAAAAACAACAGATGCTAACCAAGGTGCTGTACAAAAACAAGAAATCAACAATTAGAACAGAAACAATTTATTCAAAAGTAGGGTTAAGACAAAATACAATTAGACTCCATGTAGGTACATATTAGGTATTTACCTTTTTCTTGTGACGGGGAGGCTTGGAAATGGCCTCTTCAGCTTCTGCAATGACTTCCGACAGGCTCCGAAATATGCGCATCTACGCAACAATAACAAATTTATCACACTTGTTACAAAAGTTTCCACATTTTGCCACAATGCAACCTTAATCTGCAGAGATTTCTATTGGAACTTTGTATGATAGACCAACAAAGTAGTGTAAATGTATTAAGTGATGGGGAAAACAAATGTTTCTCCACTCTCAGCTGTTCTAAGACGACATCAGTGAACAAACGGCACCATAAAAACCAAGCAACACAGCAATAAGGGAGAAGTTTAGAGGAGAACTCACCTTTTCCATCATCTTTTGCCACTGGTCGTGGCATTCCTTAGCAGAATAGGGAGGGAATGCTGTTTTATCCCAGTTTACAGACAACACTCCAATTTCACACCTCGTCGTTTTCTCACTTTCTGGGATGTTGCTCCTAATACGGTCAACAAGCTTCAGGAGGTTTGCAATGGTCCATCCTGTAGGTATAGCACATTTGCACAGAACATACTCACTTAACCTCAATTTACCAGCAGCAAGTTTTCATAGGTCAGTAATTATACCCACCAGATTCTGCACCGTTCATTTTGCTTTTACTCATTTTTAACCAAAACGTATTTACTTTTCAAGACTTTTAAGTGTGTCGAAGTAACATGCAGTAGTTAAAACACGTAACTGAGAAGCAAGCTTTAAAATTAGATTAACATATCAATCTAAAACAGCTTTTCATAAAGCTGTAGCCAAACACATGATGTCCGTCAGTTTTGAAACATTCGCAAAAGTCCTTTGCTAATGGGCGGAACCCTAGATAGGACGTCCAATCGGAGAGAAGGACCAAGAAACGTCACTTGAGCAGCGGAAACACCAGCCAATAAGATGTGTCCGTGTTTAAAACAACAATAAATGGAAGAGGAGTGCAGCTTGAAGAATGTCCGGTACTCGCCCCCTACTGGCCAGGAGCTCGGAAAGTAAAATTACGAACTGGGTTATATTGAGGAACACAGTTTAATATTTTAAAACAAATATTTATAAGTTGTATGTTATAGTCTAAATAGAACTGAAATTTCATAACTTAAATACATACATACATTTTGTCTGATTATTTACATTTTTCAACAGTTCATTTGCAACTGTTACATTACAACCATGCATAATTATTTCAGTATTTACAAATTCCCTAGACTCTGCATCTATTTCTCAATAACTTAGTTTTCTTGCCTTATAAATATATTTTGTATTAGTGTAGTTCTTTTTTCCATTATTGTTTTTCAATGTGCATATGTATGATGCCATTTGCCTGTCACTTAGTCACCAATTGGAGGGTAGCGTCCAAACTCAATATAGAATTTGAGTTCAAATAAAGTTCATTTGTCAATTTAAAAATACATTTTAAAACAATATTAAAGCTGGTATTAAACATACTCTTCATAACTCCAAATTTCTGTTACTCTGATAATTTAATTTCATTAGCTGAAAGCCAAGATCATTAAAAAAAAACCAAGATAAATGTTTATTTTATTTTATTGGCACATATTTCCTGGCTCATAAAGCAGCAACAACAAACAAATCTGTTGGAGAGGAACATCTAAACATAGGAAGAAAAAAAATTATGCTTTATAAAGCTACCTCTTTAACTTTATGCAATTCAAATAAAAAAACATGTTCCTTATGAATTGCATGAAAATATGCAACCATTCTTATGTCCAGCAGTCAGTAACACATTGTAAGCAAAGTCCAAGGCAATTTCTGTGTGGCATTGTTTAGATTTGTTTTTCAGTGCATGAACTTCAGCTCTGCATCTGCCACCCTGCAGAAAGTGAACACAGCTCCGCCTCTCAGCACTCAAGATGGACCACCGCAGACCTCCTGGGTGGCGTTTTCTTCCTGGCATCCATCACAGAAACCAGTTGGTTGAGAATCCTCCATCTGGATTTGTCATCAATGATGCACCTTGAACATGTTGCCATCCTTTTTTGCTCTCAACCTGACAATGAAAACTTGATGATTAATAAACTGATGTGAAATGTCAACAATATTTACATTCTATCCTCTAAGACGAGTAGAATGAATTCTATTTGATGAAGGTTGAAATGAGAACAAATTTTAGAGGTTTGTTTTTGTTATCGTCTTTCAATAACAAATTTACCCAGCTGATGATGCCGTGGCTTTTGAATCTTTTGTAATTTAAAACAGTGAAGGTCCACCAGTTGGGGATTTGAAAGCAACACCTAAAACACACTGGATACTTGTGACATCACAGGAAAATCAAAACGATTAATGAAGACATCAGGAGGAGTGACTGGTTCCTCCTTACGTTTCAACTTCCTATTTTCTGATGGTGCATATATTTGATAACACAAAATATTCAAGGAGTCTTGAGCATCCAGGAAGTTCAGCCCAAGAAGGAGACAAGTTCTCTGACCAGACATAAATGTGTTTTAGTAAAAAAAAAAAAAAAAAAAAAAAAAAAAAGTACTTTACAGACTACAGACTTGCTCTGAAACGCCTCAGAGAGGAAGAAGCCATTAGTTAAAAACAAAGTTTTCATAATTGCTTTTGTGATTTTTTTTTTTTTTTGCAATCAAAATGACTGCAAAAATTTTGTGGAGCTAATTTAGAAAGGAATTATGTACGATTATAAATGTGACTTTTTGTTACTCCAAATAACCTACAGATGGGAGTTAGTCACTTAAACGCAATGTTTTTTTTTCTTTCAAAAACATTTCCAATTAGCTAAAAATTATACATTAGCACAAAATAAATATCCTGAGATCTGTTTATTTTCGTAAATTTCTGCAATCACAGAATTGCAAAAAAACTGAAGGAACTGCCTAAGAGACAACCTGATTATTGGAGACACGTTGTCTGGTCTAATGAAATTAAATTTGAAGTATTTGGTCATAATCAGCAGGTAAAACAGTTAGAAAGCTATTAGAAAGCCACGTGAATGGCCTCACAAAATCATCATTTATTGCGAGATGCTTGTGGAAAATGTTTGATATTTTAGGTCATACAGGTCAAAATGGAATTCTGAGGCATTTAGCAAACAGAAATAATTTGGAGAAAACTGTCTGACCTAAAAGTTTGAAAGTTTAATCTGATTTAATGTCAGACGGAGAGAAACAAATTTACACAGCGTATAAAGTAAACAACCTTGCACTTGCTCTCATTGCTACTTTCGTTGTACTCGTCTTCTCGTCCTGTGTGCCAAAAACAAACAAAAACTGAACATGCATTCATTCTTTTTTTGATTCATCAATTGCTGCCAAATACATTTTGGATCAGCTAATCGTTTCTGTGCATTAAAAAGTTGAAGGTGTGAGCATATTTTAGAAGCAAATCAAAACTGTGTCACTATTATTACATTCATACTTACTGAATGTAGGTCAAGAGTCTCCCTTTTCTCGTCTATATATTTCTGGAGAAAAACAATCCTCTGTAAAAACAGAATGTGATACGATTAGGAACTTTCTTTCAGGCTTCTTGAAATAAAAAAAATACGGTAAAGGGACTTACATCGGGTTTTTTCCTCAAGTAATCCCTCTGCTCCTCTTCACTCAGCGTCTACTCAAATAATGCAGAACAATTTTAACTCCCAGCTGAAATTTCAAACGCTTGAGTTAAAATGAATGACTGGATGAATACCTGGAACCACGCTGGCAGCTCTTCTGCGTATTTTCTCATATTTTCCTCAACTATTTTAGCGTAATGATTCTTCTTTGATTCTGAGAACTTGTGCCACTGTTCCCTGGCCTTTTCAAAACGCTCTTTCCTTGGCATAGATTTCTCGGCATGTTTCAAAATATCCAAGTGAAAATATATAAACCCAGAGCTGAAGAAAAAAAAAAAGCAACATTTTCAGGTTGGATTTTGAGAATAAAAACAATTAATATCTTTAAGATATTTTGGTTACACGATGTGGGGAAAAATTTTCTCCTTACAATTTTGTTTTCCTATTTTTGCTTTTAATTACACTTAAATGTTTCAGATAATCAGAAAAAAGTGTCAAACATAACCTGTGTAAAGAAAAGAGGTTTATTTTAAATGTTGATTTTGATTGAAAAAATGTGAAACTTTATTTCCTAAACCTAATAAGTTGATGTGTCACCCTTGGAGGCAGAATCAAGATATTTTTAACAATAAGCCTTTTACATACTTATTGGGAGAATCTCTTTTTTTTTTTTTTGGAAGAAATTCATGAGGGACAATTTTATTTGTTTATTTTTTCAACAGCACTTTATATACTCACCGGGAGGGCATCGTCGGCTCACCAGGGTGCATCTTGTGTTGGTCCTACAGTGAAATAAACACGACAAATTTTAGAGGAAATTCCCAGAAGGAGGCCTTGAAATTAGGCGCTTGTCTCTTTAAGAAGCTCCTTCTGGTTCCGCCACTGCCCCTTCAGCATGTCATCACAACAGCATTTATCTGTTATGCTGTTTACAAACAGCGCTGCACTGAGAAACAGTTCAAATAATGAGTTCTGCAGATGTGCATTTCCACCAGGTGTTTGCCAATTGCTGCTGCCACTAGTCTGGAGGAGTTGAGTGGGGAAGGCGTGGGGGAAGGGGCTCTGAACTGTGTTTTTAGGTACAAGTTTATGTGAATGAAGTCAACAAGAGAGAATTAAACCCCAGGAAAACCCCAGGTTAGAAATGAAATAATAAGCTAATTGCAATTAGCATATTATAACTGTATTTTACGACAAAACCATTTAATAAAAGTCAATTAACACATGCTGAGTCCTTAGACTTAATTCAGAAAGCTTTGGTGGTGAAATACGAACATAAATTAATTCAGATTTAAACCTGAACAGATCAGAACTTTTAAGTATTTCTCATCAGAGGTGGACTTGCACAAGACTGATCACAAGAGACAGGGAGAACTCTACGGCAAGCCATTTTGGTCTTTAATTGGGCACTTTCCCCTGGCATCTCCTGAACACCGTTAAAAGTGCCACATGGTGTTTATTAGCGCCACTACATGTTTAATAAATGCCAACAAACATTTAATAGGAACATTCAAACATTAAAGCACCACAAGGTGTTAATTAAACATCTGGTAGCACTTAAGTAACTCCGCCCAACTGTTTTGACAGCCAGTAGTTTTGAATTGCAAGTTCAGATGTTCAAACATGAAAAAAAAAGAAAAGAAAATATGCACACACAAAATGTAGATTAAACATGAATTTTTAAGAGCTCAAGAAGAACATCATTGTCAGTTTTTTGATGCGCCTCAGAAATGGTTGCTGGGTTTGAATGTTGTCACTTCAACACCACTGAGCTCACAGCTGCACCCACCACATCTGTGTGTTTCAAACATCCCAGAAAAAGTAGAAAATGAAAGCTTACCAAAATCTTCTTTGGCATTCTGATTCCTTTTTCCTCGATGAGCTGCTGCTTCTCCTCCTCATCTAACCGCTGAAGAACATAAAGCGAAAACAAGTGACTGTTTCCGTGACGACAAAGCAGATCTTACAAGTTAAGCTGCGGAAATGCTTAGGGAGTTAAACATGCCCCCCTGAAAAAGTATATACATATTGCAGTTGAAAACTCTCAACCTTACTTACATCCAGATATTTTATCAACTTGGCTTTGTATTCTCTCTTCATCTGAAATGACAAACTGTACTTAACAGGCTTGAGGTAAAAATAGGTGTCATTTTTTTTCTTGTTGGACAATCTGCTAATACCTGTGCACAGCGTTTATTGTACTTCTGTTTCTCATTTTCACTCAGTTCTTTCCAGTGTTGACTCATAACCCGTATAAAACTCGCTCCATGTGAAGGCTCTCCTCCTGTGACTCCTGAAGAGTGTTCTATGATGAACAGACCAAAACCATGCCTGAAAATACAGAGAAAAACAAAACAAAAACATAATGACCAAATCGTAAAATCTAAAAAAATAAAAATCCAACCCCAAGGTGAAAAGGACTCAAAATATCTAATCCAGGTTTGAATTTGATAAGGTTTTTTCCTACCTTCATTAGGCTAAAAAGGCTTTACTACTATGTGTTGCAGAGAAAATAATGACCATTCATTAGAGGTGGGAAGAGCAACCAAAAGTACACTCAAGCTGAAGTATAAAGTATTAATAAGAAAAATACTCAAGTAAAATTTAAAAAGTATTTGGTAAAAAAAAGAAGAAGAAAGAAAAGCGTACCCAAGTACTGAGTGACTGTGTGCAAAGATATGTGCAACTTCTAGTATTTTCAAGAATAAAATAAATCATAAAAAGAAATTATTACAAAATAAATTCAAGAAGAAAAACATTTCCAAATAAAATTTATCACAACCTAAACCTTCTAACTTTAGCTATAGAGGGTTTTTCATATAGTGAATTCATGTAGGCCACTTCAGATGTTCTGAAGATTTTTATTTTTGCATGGTTGAATACTAATTAAATGTGACTGCAATTAATCGTCAATGGGTCGATTTTAAAGCTGTTGAACAATGGGAGTTGAAAAGAAAGAACAAATGAATTCTGCTGTAAACTCAAAGATGTATTTCAATGTTCACTTCCTGAAAACGTGCTTTGGAACGGCTTCTTAAACCTATTAAATGATAATATGTTACAACAAAGGCAGTTTACTTGTAATAAAATGAAAGAACAAAGAGGTGGACAGCGAGTCTGACTTACCAAGGTGGTTCCTGAGGAAAATCTTTGTCTTTGTCGTCACCTTCCTTCAAATTAATAAAAAAATAACAGATGCTTAAGCACTAACAATGATTCTACACATTTTTCAATACAAAATATTGTTTTATTTTTTTAATAACATTTTATTTTTTATCTCCAACATACAAAAACTCTTAAGCTAGAACCCATAAAGTAACAATTTATTCTTCCTTCAGCCTGGTTTTCCTGCCCGATTTATTTTTTCCCCCCAGTTTTTCTTTTCTTTTCTTTAACAAACAAATACAATGATATCCTAATTGCCAAGAAATGTAAACATAAACTGATAAAAAATCTTAAAAGTATTAATACTTTTGTCAAAAAAAATTCAAGGCAACCAACAACTTAAATAATCAATGTGTCTTGCCGTTTGAAAAAAAAAAAAAAATCAGTTTAATGTTTTTCTTTTAAGTATAAGAATAGGGAATAATTTCCAAAAGCACAATTTTTTCATACTCTCTTTTCCACTCATACTTAAATAGATTTAGAATGTGATAAAAAAGTATTTTTCTCAGTTTTCCTGAGGATGTAGGAACCATGAACCGATATTTACTGTTAATCAAAGTAGAGCAGAGTAAAACAGTTTAAACCTGCTAACCATGTGAGCAACAAGCAGCATTTCCCAAGAAAGAGAAAAATCACTCACATATTTAAGGGTGACCCTTTTCGTGTGCTTTTTCTTCTTTATAGGAACACGCAGATTGTTCTCTTTGCTGAACGACAGAAGAATTTGCTTTACATTAAGTTTAGACGAGCAATTTTGCCAAATCAAATGTGAATACCAAAATTGCTTTTCTACCATAATTTGTTAATCTTTCTGGAGTATTCTTCAAACGCAAGTCTGTACTTCTTTGCATATTTAGCCTAAAGAAGGGGGAGGGGGAAGAAGTTAAATGTCAGTTCTTTGAGATATTAAGTATTGTTTTACAAACAGGCTCACTAAAGACAACCTACTTTCTTTTTGTCTGACAGTTTTTCATAGTCCTTGGAAAAGGTCTTTGTCATTAACACCACATTCACCCCTGGATTTTTCCTCGCATACCTGGACATACACTTCCTAATATAAGTCATTTTTGGGGGATTAGGTGGCTTTGGGAGGTCGGGGTGAATCTGCAAGAAAAATAAACCACACATTTACCAAAACAAGGACGTGTTATTATCCATTTATACTAAATAGTACCAAACTGCAATAACAGTCACATGAGTTTGAAGGTTGACCCCTTACATTTTTGTCTAAGAAGGGGTTCAAAAGCAATTCTTGAGCTTCATCAAGGAGCTCAGGAAGGGTGCGATATCTGCGCATCTGAGGAACAACAATAGAGAGAGGATCACATATGCCACATTAAAATTTTTAGCAGCACAATGTCACATTTCGCTTATTTTACACAGCTTTTGTGCTCTTCAATAAAAGGAGGTTTGACTGCTTGTGGGGAATTTAGGCTAATTTATCTTGCCGCTAGTTCAGAGTCTGAAATATTTCCACTTCATACAGGTAAATATAACAAAATAACAATACAGATGTGCTTAATCTATGCATCTGATGAATGAATCCAACATTTAGACAACAGTAAAGAGAACAACAACTAAAAACATAAATATTTTTCCATATTGTCCTACTTTTTCTGTATCTATATATTTAAATCCTACAGTACTTTAATCAAATTTAAGACTATTTCGGGTTGTGAAGAGATGGATGGATACTACCTACTAACATTTACTCAATTATATTATGTTGAGTAACTTTCTTTGAAAGAAAATATCCTTTTAGGAGTATTTTTTACAACATTTTACTTTTGAGTAATTTTATTATAAAGTATCGCTACTGTTACTTGTGTAAAATTTCTGGACTCTCGACCCACTGAATGAAAAAGAAAACATGTTTTCACCAGTCACAGACACAAACCTGCAGTTCCTGTTAAAGTTTCATAAGAAACTGATTCAGAAAAAAATATTTTTGTTGCTTATATAAATTATTGTAATTTTGTACCACTTTAATTCCACTTTCTATTTTGGTCTGTCTGATTATGCAATTTTTAAATATTAAATTATTGGTAATTTGATCAGTTACTAAGTACCTGAGAAGAATATTTACCAAATACATTTTTTACTCTTCCTAGAGTGATTTCTTGGATGGCTACTTTTTTACTTTTATCTTTGCAAAAATATGTTGAAGTAGTGCTACTCTTATGCGAGTCCAATTTTTGGGTACTCTATGATTACAACACTACATTTTGAGCAGAAAATCCAATCAACATTTAAAGCTTTAGCACACTGCTCACCTTCCGCGTCAATCTCTTCCATCTCTCCTGGCATTCACCTGCAGAAAACGGGGGGAATGCAACTTTATCCCAGTCTACAGCTTTTAGTCCTTTCTTATAAGGCTTCGTTTTGTCATCCTTTGGGAGGATGCCTTTCATAGAAGCAAGGAGCTTCTGGAGGTTTTCCTGCGACCATCCTGTAGCTTCAGCCCCTTTACAAAAAAGACGGTTGAATAATCAGCTAAAATACTGTAAATATCTGAGGCAGCAGTAGAAAAAAAGCTTTAATTAGCCGTACTCACCTGATACACCAGCTTCAGTTACTACTTCATTCATTTTAAAATTAAACCGAAAGACGTTGAAAAAGTGAGAAGCATAACTGAACGATTCTCAATTTTTTCCACTCTATCCCCGGTTATCGGCAGAAAACCAGCGGTGAAATAACAACTGTCTAATCGTTCATTCAAACTATTAGAAAAATAACAACCTGAAATGCATCTAAAATCTGTAGAAGCCACATGGCGTGTTTCTGTTATATTACAACTTTTTTCTTCTTCTCCTGCTGCTGCTGCTGCTGCTGCTGCTGCTTCTTCTTCTTCTTCTTCTTTGTATGGCGGTTGGCAAACAACGTATTGGTGCGCATTACCGCCATCTACTGGAGTGGAGTGTGGATAAGTTAATACAACTTCCGTATGAACTTCCAAAAAGGCGGAACCTTACAGAGGAAACAGCCAATCAGGAACGAGACGATAGAAACGTCGCTAAGCAACGGAGAAAGACATTAACCCTGGAAGACCCAGTCACAAAAATTTATGACAAAGGTAAACTTTTCAGATGGTTTTGAAGGAGTAGCAAGATTAGAGATAAAAAAGATAATATTTTCAGATTTGTTTTGCCTTTATAAGATTTTATGAAAATGTAACAGTAAATTTAAAATGTAAACATTTTTTTTGTTTAAAATAGATGCAATATTACAAAACTGGGTCA